CCATATCCTAGCTATTGTGAACAGTGCTGCAATAAACATGGAGGTGCACGTGTCCTTGTATATTGGTTCCTGTTGTTCAGGGTAGATGCCTAGAAGTGGTATGACTGGGCAGAGACCCTATTTTTTAAACAGGGCTGTGTTCTGCAATTGCGGGAAGGCATGAATTCGGGGGGATTGTATTTGATGATGGTAGGAACAGGACTCTGTAACCAGGTGCCTGAGCTTGAATCTCGGTGGGGTCACTGCCTGGACCCAGCAGGGCTGTGAGCCGGTGTGCACCTCCCAACAGGAGGCCTGGTAGCCGGACTCAACTTCTCACAGGACTCTGCCAGACTGGTTCCTGTGGCAGGGCCCTGGGAGTTGCTGACCCCAGGCCTCAGTTCCGCGTTCCCGCTGCCTGCAGGCATGTCGGAGCGGGAGCGGCAGGTGATGAAGAAGCTGAAGGAGGTGGTGGACAAGCAGCGGGATGAGATCCGCGCCAAGGACCGGGAGCTGGGCCTGAAAAACGAGGACGTGGAGGCTGTGAGTGGCGCCCCCCCAGCTCCTCCCTCCTCTTCCTTCCTCCTCCCAGTGCCTGTCCTTGGAGGCCTCAGCCTGGACACTGACCCTGGGCAGTAGGAGGGAATGCGGTCCCATGGTACCCCTGGCCCCCAGTACTACCTCTTGTGCCTCTGGAATCCAAGCCTGAGTTAGAAGAAGGTTCCTCAAGGCATGTGACTTCCCCGTTGGGCAATTCAGCATGGTATATCAATCCTAACAAGACCCATAGGTCCATCTGCCATAACAATATGTGAGTAACTACAAATTGCCCGTCTCTGGTGTCATCATAGTCCTTAAATACGAACAGATTTCTAACAGGGTCCACCTGAAGGCGTGCAGTGTGCAACCTGAGCCACTGTACACGGCGACCCTGCACAACAGCACTCTTCTCCCACAGCTACAGCAGCAGCAGACGCGGCTCATGAAAATCAACCACGACCTGCGGCACCGGGTCACCGTGGTGGAGGCCCAAGGGAAGGCTCTGATCGAGCAGAAGGTGGAACTGGAGGCAGATCTGCAGACCAAGGAGCAGGAGATGGGTGGCCTGCGGGCGGAACTGGGGAAGCTTCGGGAGCGGCTGCAGGGGGAGCTCAGGCCGAAGGGAGAGGAGGAGCCGGAGGTGAGTGGGAAGCCGGAACTGAGGTAGTGCATGAGTCACTAATCACACGGTGTCACATGCTCCCACTTCTAAACACAGACCCAGGACAGGTGAAAGTGTAGAGATGGCCATAGCGTTGCTCCTAAAGCCCAGGAGATGAGCTGGGCGCCGGTGGCTCACCTGTAGTCCTAGCTACTCAGGATGCTGAGATCTGAGGATTGGGAGAGAGAGAGAGAGAGTGAGTGTGTGTGTGTGTGTGTGTGACAGAGAGAGAGAGAGAGAGTCAGTGAATTTCCACACCACCTGCCTTTCTTGCTCTGGTTATTTGATACAGGGTTTCTCTTTTTGCTTATCTTTCTATTTATACTTCCCACTGAAGCTGGGATGACAGGCATGACCCGCCAGCACCTAGCTTTTTTTTTTAATTTTTAATTTTTTGCCAGTCCTGGAACTTGAACTCAGGGCCTGGGCACTGTCACTGAGCCTCTCTGTGCTCAAGGATAGCACTCTGCCACTTGAGCCATAGCACCACTTCTGGCTTTTTCTGTGGTACTGAGGAATCAAACCCAGGGTTTCATACATGCTAGTCAAGCACTCTATCACTAAGCCACCTTCCCAGCCCCCTAGCTTTTTATTTTATTTTTTTTGTCGGTCGTGGGGCTTGAACTCTGGGCCTGGGCGCTGTCCCTCAGCTCTTCAGCTCAAGGCGAGCGCTCTACCGCTTGAGCCACAGTGCCACTTCCGGTTTTCTAGTGCGTTTATTGGAGATAAGAGTCTCATGGACTTTCCTGCCCGGGCTGGCTTTGAACCACGATTCTCAGCTCTCAGCCTCCTGAGTAGCTAGGATTACAGGCGTGAGCCACCAGCGCCCGGCCCCTAGCTTTTTATTGAGCTGGAACTTTTCTGCCAGGGCTGGCTTTGAACCATGATCGTTCTGCACGACTAGCTGGGAGGGCAGGTGGGAGCCACCATGCTCAGCTACATCTGAATTTTCTAAGAAACAGTTCAGGCCCCAGGGTGTCACAGGAACACCAGAGCCAGACCGGCCTGAGTTCAAGTTCCAGTCCCCAGCAGCTGCCAAGCACCCACCTGTCTGGACACAACATGACTGAGGCTTAGGTTCTGCCTGGTGGGCCTGGAAAGTCCCGAGTGTGACCAGAGCACAGTTGTCCCCTCTGCTGGACCAGCTTCCGCGGTGGGCACTTCTGTGAGCCTGGTGACTGGGAGGCTGGGCCGCAGGGGAGAGGCCCAGGCCCCAGGCTGTTGCTGTCGGTGGCCTCTGGATGGCTTGTCAGCCTGTCTCCTGGGCATCATGGTATCTCTGATACCCTGGCTGTGCCCAGACAGGCTCCAGGGACCAGCAAACAAGGGCAGGAGCCTGGCTTGTCAGAGATAACCCTGGCCACCCTAATCCTCGTGGAATGACCTGGAAGGGCCGCTGACCAGCCCTGCTGCCACCTGAGGAACAGGCTCAGGCTCTCTGGCCAGGCCTGGGCGGCCCCAGGAGTGCCCAAAGTCAGGGCTGCCCCACACCTGTCTGGGACTTTCCAGGCTCTGTGGGGATCAGAGCCAGCCGTTCCCAGAGGAAAGAACAGGGGGCCCTCCTTGTCCAGGCGGATATATATCAAGGAGGCACCCCAGCCCGGAGGGTTCAGAGCAAAGAACCCTGAAGTTGTGCAGAGTGCCCTTAGAAGTGGGGAGCTGGGCTCTGTAGCAGGACCTTGTGGAAGGGAGAGAGCGAGGGAGGGAGGGAGGGAGGGAGGGAGGGAGGGAGAACTATGCAGGGGCCAGAAGAGGCTCTTTGAGGTGAGGCCATGCCCCTCCCTGAAGTGTGGGCACCCTGTGAGGTAGCCATGCGGGGAGAGGCTGCCTGTGCCTGGCAGCCTACCTGGGGCAGACCCTGGGTCCTGTGTTACCCTGGGGTTGTGGGCGCAGGGGTGCCCCGCCCCGTTAGTGCGGTGTCTCCTTATCTTGTAGATCTGAGAACCCGGAGGAGGCGCCCAGCATTAAAAGTCAGGGAGCAGGGCAACCCGCACCGCTCCTCCCCTGCCCGCCCCCACCAAGATGACCATAGTTCTGAGGCTAGCTCCCTGCTGAGACTGCGCAGCCTTGTTGCTGTCACCTGATCTGCCTGGCTCCAGGTGTCGCCTTTCAAGTGCCCCTTCTCAGAACAGTCTGTCCTCCAGCCCAGGGCCTGCGGCCCGGGCTCTGTCTCCAAGAGACCTTGGCCTAGGCCTCACCCCTGTTCTGGCTGGAGTCCCCACCTCCCCTGCCTCTGTAAGGCTGAGGGTGGTTGACATGTGTATTCCTGCCCCTCTTGCCCCCATTCCAGAACTTTCCTAGAGCTGGCTTGGTCTTTATCTGCTAGTGGACTATGGAAAATTGGAAGGGAGAGTGAGCCAGCGCCGTGGACGTGGCCGTGGCCGGCTGACACGGGCAAAGCCTCCCTCACTGTAAGGAAAGCACAGAGCCAGTGGCTCTTGTCTATAATCCTAGTGACTCCAGAAACAGAGGTCTGAGGATCTCAGTTCAAAGCCAGCCTGGCAGTAATGTCTGTGAGGCTCTTTACCTCCAATGAACCTGCAAAAAGCTAGAGGTAGAGCTGTGGCTCAAGTGGTAAAGTGCCAGCCTTGAGGGAAAAAGCACCCAGGTCCTGAGTTCTAGACCCAGGACTGGCATCTCTCTCTCTGTCTCTGTCTCTCTCACACCCCCCCCCCCCACACACACACATACACACATACACAGAATAAACTTCTTTTTTTTTTTTTTTGGTCCAGTCGTGGGGCCTGAACTCTGGGCCTGGGTCCTGTCCCTCAGCTCTTCAGCTCAAGGCTAGCGCTCTACCACTTGAGCCACAGCGCCACTCCGGCTTTTTTCTTTTTGCTTATGTGGTGCTGAGGAATCGAACCCAGGGCCTCAGGCATGCAAGGCAAGCGCTCTACCACTGAGCCATCTTCTCCGCCCCAGAATAAACTTCTTTACTTGTCTTTTCCTACTGTTTCCTAAAAAGATGTCCCTGTGGAGAGGAGGCCGGGCAGGCAATGTAGTAGGATGCTGGGTGGCGTGTGTGTCCCATGGGAGAGAAGCCCCTGGGAAGCGACTGTGTGTGACTTTATGTCAGATGACCAGGAGCGGAGAATTGTGTGGGGCTGTGGTCTTCCACCCACTTGAGCCGCAGGAGCAGAGAGGGGGCAGGTTTCTGGGCGGGGATTAGAGGCGGGTGCTTCTTCACTGTGGATGGCTTTGACTGAGCCGGTGGAGGCGGGACACAGCCCTGCTGTTGAAGGGGCCGCTGCATCCACCTCCGCAGGAGCCCAGGCTACCTGCAAGGGCTTTAAATAAAGCAGGGCCCTGAGCAAGCTGCCCACGTGCAGGGGGTGGACGGTGACAGTGTGTGCCCACGCGCAGGGGGTGGATGGTGCAAGCTCCGTCAGGATGTAGAGTGGGTGCCGCCACTGGAGCTGCCAGGAATTCATTAGCAACATCTCTGCCCCCTCCAGATGGAGCCCAGTGGAGAGGAGGGCGTCTCAGATGCGGAGAAGGCGGCCCTGGATCTCAAGGACCCCAACCGCCCTCGGTTCACGCTGCAGGAGCTGCGGGACGTGCTGCATGAGAGGAATGAGCTCAAGTCCAAGGTATTCTTGCTGCAGGAGGAACTGGCCTACTATAAGAGGTAAGAGTCCTGGGCTGGGACCTGTAATCCCTCTGAGGGAGGCAGAGGCAGGAGGATCATGAGCTGAGGTCTACCCAGCATGTTAAAAGCCTAAAACCCAGTCTGAAAATAAGCTAAAGCAAAAAAGGGCTGGGGTGTAATAGAGCATTTGCCTAGCAAGTATGGGGCTGTTTAAAATCATATAATCATAAATAATACAATTCAATAAATAATAAGTAACACAATTTAAAATAATAATTAAAAAAATAAAAGCTGGGTGCCAGTGGTTCACGCCTGTGATCCTAGCAGCTTACAAGGCTGAGATCTGAGGATCATGGTTCAGAGCCAGCCCAGGCAGGAAAGTCTGTGAGACTCAAAACTACAATTTACCACTAAAAAGCCAGAAGTAGAGGTGTGGCTCAAATGGTAGAGCCCTAGCATGGAGAAACAAAAAAGCTCAGGGACAGTGCCAAAGTCCTGAGTTCAAGCTCTAGGAATGGCAAAACAAAACAAAATTTAAAAAGCCAGGCATCAATGGCTCACGCCTGTAATCCTAGCTACTCAGGAGGCTGAGATCTAGGGATCATGATTTGAAGCCAGCCTGCCCAGGAAAGTCTGTGAGACTCTCATCTTCAACCTTAAGTACTTTCAGGACATCCCATTAAAGATTTGCTCAGTGGGCCGAAGGGCGGCCCCCTCCTCTGATCGGCCATGTTGGTCATCTGGAGGCCAGACCTTAGGCAGGTATCTAGACAGAGGTCACTGTCACCTTCAGGGGTCTCTCCAAAGTATACATCTTCATCAGACCATTCCCTTCTGGAATGTTCCACTCTCAGAAGTTTTGACTGATTGGTCTCACACCTCTTAACTCTTCCAGCGAAGAATTAGAAGAGGAAAATCGAATACCCCCTCCTCCACCCATGGCACACCCGAGAATGTCCCCCCAGCCGGAGTCTGGGATCAAGCGACTGTAAGTGACTCTTTCAGCACATGGCACATGGCTGGCTCTGCATCTCCTGGGGTTAGCTCCTGAGTCCCTGTTCCCAGGGGCTCTGCCTTTCCCCTGCCTGGATGTTGAGTTCTTTCTGGGATCTCTGGGCAGAGGCTGGGGCAGCTGGGGGTGGGGGGGGCTGTGGCTCATGCTCAGAGCTTGCTTGAGTTTGCAGCCTGTGGCTCTGGAATCAAGGACAGCAAGTGGGGCTGGGTAGAGGACTTGTGCGGCTTAAAGGCTGGAAAGCTGCGTGTGCATCTAGCCAAGTGTGCATTAGTGACAGATACGTGTGGTGGGCCCTGGTACTGTGACCAGAGTCCCCCTCCGCTCAACAGGCCCTTTGCTTTCCAAGGAAAAAGTGCAGATCTAAGGCTGGGGATAATCTCCGGGGGTTCCTGGACCCCTGCAGGCTATCAGATAAAGGCCTGTGGTCTAGTTGAATGGCTCCAATCTGAAGACTTACTGTTTACCTACTGTGTAGCTCCATTCAGCTTCTAGGTCCTCCCCATCGTGCTGGTGGGTGGCAGTGATGTCCTTAAGGAATCCGAGGGCCAGGATTTGAACCAGGCACCCTGGCCTTTGCAGGATGGCCTATTATATTCTCTCAGCCTCAGGCCCCCTACTTTTCCCATGACAATTATAGAATAGATCTCAACTACAATCCTAGCTACTCGGGAGACTGAGCCCTGAGGACCTTAGTTCAAAGCCAGCTTAGGTAAGGTAGATAAATCCTAGAGATTCTTATCTGCAATTCCCCTTGCTCCCCCAGACCTGTGTCAGCAATGTGGAAGACTGTCAGCTCAGGAGTCAGACTTATTCTATCTAAAACTAGGTCAGATTCCTTGCCCCCACTCCCAATCAGATTCACAGAAAACAGTCAAGTTTCATTGGCTCTGATTCCATCACATGATCAACCTGAAACCAATCACAGGATAGCACATTGTCAGGTCTATGTTTATATTGTCATCCCTGAAGCTTAAAATAACTTCTTATTTATTTATTTACTTAAATTTTACTTATTTTTTTTTTTTTGTCTATTGTGGGGCTTGAACTCTAGGCCTGGGCGCTGTCCCTCAGCTCTTCAGCTCAAGGCAAGTGCTCTACCACTTGAGCCACAGCGCCACTTCCAGTTTTCTGGTGGTTCATTGGAGATAAGAGTTTTATGGACTTTCCTGCCCAGGCTGGCTTTGAACCGAGATCTTCAGATTTCAGCCTCCTGAGTAGCTAGAATTACAGGCATAAGCCACTGGTCCCCAGCTATTTATTTATTTGTCAGTCCTGGGGCTTGAACTCAGGGCCTTTTGCTCAAGGCCAGCACTCTACCACTTGAGCCACAGTGCCCCTTCCAGCTTTTTCTAGTTATGTGGTACTGAGGAATCAAACCCAGGGTTGATTTTTTTTTTTTTGGGGGGGGTCTGGTTGTGGGGCCTGAACTCTGGGCCTGGGCACTGTCCCTTAGCTCTTCAGCTCAAGGCTAGCACTCTTTTTTGCTTATGTGGTGCTGAAGAATCGAACCCAGGGCCTCATGCATGCAAGGCAAGCGCTCTACCACTGAGATACCTTCCCAGCCCCTCTGGGGTTTTATGCATGCTAGGCAAGCACTCTACCACTGAGACACCTCCCAGCCCTATTTATTTATTTGTTGGTCCTGAAGCTTAAACTCTGAGCCTGGGCACTGTCTCTGAGCTGCTTTTGCTCAAGGCGAGCGTTCTTCCACTTGAGTGACTTCTGGATTTTTTTTTTTTTTTGAGTAGTTTATTGGAGATTAAACTTTCTTGCTTGGGCTGGCTTCGAACTGGGATCCTCAGGTGTTAACCTTCTGAGTAGCTAGGATTACAGGTGTGAGCCACTGGTGCCCAGCTAACCTAACTTTTTATTTTATTTTATTTTATTTATTTATTTTTGGGTCCAGTTGTGGGGCCTGAACTCTGGGTCTGGGTGCTGTCCCTCAGCTCTTCAGCTCAAGGCTAGCGCTCTACCACTTGAGCCACAATGCCACTTTGGGCTTTTTTCTTTTTGCTTATGTGGTGCTGAGGAATCGAACCCAGGGCCTCAGGCATGCAAGGCAAGCGCTCTACCACTGAGCCACCTTCCCATCCCCCCCCCCAGCATAACTTTTTAAATTAATTCAGTTCCCATGGATTGAAATTGGCCCCGTGTGATCCGAGTGCTAGCTTCATCTCAGGGGGTGGGAAGGCCCTTCAGTGTTAGTGTCATGAAACATTTGTAATTGCTTCCAAAACTGGGCTGTTCTGACTTAAGTGTTCTATTCCAGTACCCTTATTTTAGATAGGGTAGTTAAAGTTGGGTCTTGCCAGTCTTGAATTGGGTGAAATCCAAAGAAGAGCCATCGGAGTGAGCCCCCAGGTAGAATTCTGCCTACACTAGAAGAGGCTAAGTGTCTGCCCTGCTTTTCCATATGGCTCCACTTGCCTTTTGCCTGTCCTCTGGTGGATGGGCGTGGGCTGGGGCTCTGAGCCTGGCACGGGAAGCAGATGGAAGGGAGGAGCCCCAGAGAGACAGACAGAGACAGGAGAAAGAGCGGCGGCCAGCCCCTCCTGTCCATGGGCACAGGTGGTCAATCCTGCGGCAGCCCGGCCTCCGAGAGGGTTGCTGGGGGAGCCAACTCGCACAAAAGGCTTTTGACAGGCGCTGTGGGGACACTGGCTGCCTTTGTCCTGAGCTGCTGTCCTGAGCTGCTGCCCAGAGCTGTGGCCTTCGAAGCCTAGGCTGGGAAGAGTCCAGGCCAGGGACGGGGCTTCCTGGGGAGAGCTGGCTTGAAAGTTCTTAGGTGGCTCAGCACACCGTCCTCCCCTCCCCCTTTCGGTCTGTTTGGTCTCTTCCTGTGCTTTGGGCAGTGTCAGCTCAGCTCTCTGCCCCTCCCCCAGGGCTTTCCCCACCTCTCACCCCCCAGCAAGTAGTAATCATCACGGAGGAGGACTGAAGGCCTCACCAGCAAGGAGCACTTGTGCGGGGCAGCTGTCCCGACTTCTCACATGAGGAAACTGAGTCCCAGGGCAGCCCCTGGATTTCATTTAGACTAAGCTGGTACTAGCTGGGAATGCTCAGGGTCAGGCATCCCCCCCCCCCCGCCCTGCTGCTTTCCGTCCATACCTCCCCAGGTCCCCAGCCCTGGCTGCCTGCCTGCGTCCCTTATCTCAAAGGCACCACGAGCTAGAAATGGCACAGCCGGCATTTCTGAGCTGAACACAAGGGAAGCAGAAACTCCTGCTGCCAGTCAAAACAGCATGCCTGCCGGGCATCCAAGAATAGCGGGTGACCCTTCAGCGCTGGCCAAAGAGGGTGGACTGGTGCGGCCCAGGAGGGTCATGCAGGGGCACCAAGTGACCACCCTGTCCCCAGGGACCAGCAGCACCTCCTTGTGTTTTGGCCTCACAATCCCCTCCCCCCCACCAGTGGCCTTCTGCCAGGCAGGGGCAGGAGGCGGGTAGGGACACTGGAGGGAGGCTGCTGGGGGGCCGCAGGGGGGCCTTGGCTTAGACCTGGATTATAGAACTGGAAAGGGTGGCTTTGGTGCAGGCGGCTGCCCCTAAATGGTGGCAGGGACAGTGCCTTCTGTCCCTGTCCTCCTCCCCGCCGCCGCCCCTCCTCCAGCCAGCAGGAAATAGCTTCTCACACCGCCCCTGACTCTTCTGGAATGCAACTTGCTAGAACTTCATTTGGTTTGAAGCTTCCAGAAACACTGGGTGGGGAGACAGAAGTTAAAGCTAGCTACGCCACCTCCAGAACACGCGCGCTGGGCCACACAGACACAGAAGGGAAGTGGCCGTCGCTCTGCAGCTGGCACCTGCGGGAAGGGACTGCGGTCGGGAAGCCCTGTGGGACACACACACTTCACTTGGCTGGGATACTCCAGGTGACAAATCTGGCCCCTGACCAGGCCCCAAGCGAAGCCCAGCAGTCCAGGCAGAGCAGGTTATCTCTCCAGGCAAAGCATCCATGCTGGGTCTGAGCGGCTGCCAGGCAGGGACGGTGTCCTGGCACAGGTGGGTACAAAGAAGGGGGACGTGGAGCCCCTGCAAGCCACCCGTGCCCGGCCATCTGGCCTCCGCGGATTGAGCCCATTCACTTAGCAAAAGGCTCTGGGAGGCCTCCCACCTGCTGTGAAAGGCGAAGGCGCTGAATCCCCAGAACCCGACTTTACACTTTTTTTTTTTTTTTGCCAGTCGTGGGGCCTGAACTCTGGGCCTGGGCGCTGTCCCTCAGCTCTTCAGCTCACTGCCACTTGAGCCACAATGCCACTTCTGGCTTTTTCTGCTTATGTGGTACTGAGGAATTGAACCCAGGGCCTCATGCATGCAAGGCAAGCGCTCTACCACTGAGCCACCTGCCCAGCCCCCGACTTTACACTCTTTAGAGCAGACAGCAAACCCGCTTTTCAAGGCGAGCGAGCCCTGGGGCCTGGCAGGCGTCTCTTCAGCCCTGCGCTCAGCACAGGGTCAGGTGACCATTGAATGAGGGTCAGGGACACAGTGTCTCTGCTTCCGGTCCTTGTCCTTGTGTCCTCGGCTGGCTGTCACCTCTGCTGTGGGCGCATGGAGACATGGAGGAGAGCCAGCGGTCACCACAGAGCTCCTAGAGCATGCTGGCCTCCCCCTTGCCCACGCCAGGCCACGCTGCCCTCGTGGCTGTCCCACACTCTATACTTCCTTGGGTGACAAGCAGCTCAGATGTCACACATGAGCTTAAGCAATGTAATGTAATCCATAGATCATGGCTCTGGATGCCAGAGTCCAAGATCAAGACTGCGTGCAGGAGAACCTGTTTGGGTGCTCTGCTCTTTGGGGGTTTGCTGGCCATCTTGGGCCTGTGGGAGAGGAATGTCACCCATTTCTGCCTCTGTCACCGCATGACACATGCGTGCATGTCTGTATCCAGATTTCACCATTTATAAGTAAGGGTGCTGGTTCTCTGCTAGGGCCACGCTCTGCTGTGACTGCTTCCTGTTTCCCCTCCGGTCACATGCAGGGGTACTAAGGGCACGGGGAGAGGGACGCAGGTCACTCTGCGGTGCACCCCTCAGCCGGGCTTCCTGGTCATGCCTCCTCTGTTTTTGTCTTCTGTGTCTCTCTGGACTTCTGGACCAGGATCTTTACAGCCATCTTGCCCATGGTGGCGGCTGGACTGATTGTAGATGACCCTGCGCTGCAGCCCGCCCGGAGACTCGTTTCCCTTGTAGGCACTGTGTGGGTTTGGGCTTCCGGGTGAGCCGTGCCGGGGGTGTGTGCGGCTGCTGCTGGGGCTGCATGGCGCTCGGCCACCTGTGTGTTGGCATCTGCAGATGCCTCTCATTGTGTTTGACCTACACGAGTGGAATTCTTGGCACTGTCACCGATAATTCTTTTTGTCTCTTCTGTTTCCCTTCTAAAAACCACCTTGCCCATGATCCAGTAAAGAAGGTTCTATAAGTGACGGGTCAGTAACCCACGCCCGGGTCCCGAGTGGCACTAACACTGTCTCTGATGCCCGTGCCATGCCCGTAGCTTTCTAAACTGCCTGGTCTATCAGGGGTCGGATGTGGGTCCATTGCCGTGGGTGTTGGGGCGGGGGTTGCCATCTCTGTGTTGGTAGTGCTAACTGGCTTTCCTGCTCCCTTCAGCCAGGTAGAGGCAAAACCTAACACACGTGGCTGCTACTCGGGGCCAGCTCATTCCCCAATCTCCCCATGCAAAGCCAAAGCATTCACACACATGCCGCGGGCCCTGTGCCTTCATTGTCAGGGGCCAGGAGAATTTCCCTTGTGTACTTGGTGTGCCCTTGCCACCTTGGTCTACATTAGCTGTGCTGGGGAACCACCTACAATGATGCATCTTAAGGGCTTCAGCATTAAATCTACTTTTGAAAGCCCAAACGGACCTACTGTGTCTCTCTCATAGCAGAAATCTGTCCCATGATTTAATAATAATGACCATGAAATCTAGGCCTTACTGTGCTGCTTCTGTGACTATATTAATGCATAACTATTGGAATCAGGACTACTGTTCATTTCCATCCTGTCATCTTGAACCCCACACAGGCCCTCAGGATCGCTTGGTAGAGGACCTGCAGGGCCAGGACAGCAGCCCTGTGGTGCGGAGTTCACACTCAGCATGCGCAAGGCCCGGGGCTGCGTCCCCAGCACTGCAGGAAAGGAAAGATGTGATTGGTGTCATGAGAAGGACCCCAAGTAGTAGGCAGGTGGAACCCCCATACATCCACAGTACACACACACACACACACACACACACACACACACGCTGCTCACGTGACCTCCCAGGTGCTGAGATAAACGCCGTGGGGGAGGAAGCCCCTCCTGTGACCCCATCATCCCCAACTTCCCCGTCGTGAACCAGTTTGCACTTAGACTGCTGCTATGTCCCTGGAGTTGCAAGAAAGAAAGAAAAAAAGGATCTGCACAGCCCAGGGAAGGCTCTCATTTCTCTCTTTCTCCATTCCGAAAGGTTTAGCTTCTTCTCTCGGGACAAGAAGCGCCTGGCCAACACGCAGAGAAACTCACACATCCACGAGTCCTTTGGCCAGTGGGCAAACACTCACCGAGACGACGGGTACACGGAGCAAGGGCAGGAAGCCCTGCAGCACCTCTGACCTGTGACCTGTGACCTTGGCCCCCTTGGAACCAGACGTGTCCTCAGCCTGTGTGGCATTACTGCCTCATGCCTCTGGGGGCAGGAGCACCCTCAAAATGGACCTCAAACAAACTGTCGTTGAGGATGGACCTTGGAGAACTGATGCCAAATTCTAAAGAAAGGTTTATTTATGTCCAGGGCTATCACCGTTTCTAATAGATGCCTCTGACCCTTAGGATATATATTTAATAGTCCTGTGAACTGAAGCCAGCTATTGCGTTAACTTTAGTAACCAACTTCTTCCAGCCAAATATATCACTCGCCGTTCTAATCGCTACTTGACTTGCTTTGTATAGGTTTAGTATAGTAGAGGTTTCATGGGCGCCTTTGTTGTGCTTGAGCTGGAGGCAGCTTTTCATGATCGTGAGATTGTCAGGGAAATCGCTGTTGCACAGGATTGATCGACTGGACACAGGGTGAGCAATTCCAGCTCCAGCACTCACGGACAGGATGCAAGTCCCCCTCAACACTGCAAGAGGCAGCAGCCGCGCCCGAGCAGGCTGGCTTGGGCCCGGCTGAGGAAGTGTGCCTTGCAACCGCTTTGGGTTAGCACTGACCAAACATGCCGAGAATGATGCTGCGACAGTTCTTGCGTGCAGTTTTCTTTTCCGGCATCCTCCTTTCCTTTTGGCATTCACCATGTGAAATACTTAGTCCCCTGCAGAGAAGACAAATCTCCCAAGAAAGCTGGGGGTGGGGGGTTCTGAAACTCCTACCCACAGAATACAGGGTGGGGCCTTACTCAGTGCATTCTGTTAATTTGCTAAAAAAACCAGGTGAAGCCAGGCAGCACAGCACACACCCATATGCTCAGAACTTGAAAGGCTTGAGGAATGAGGATCAAGAGTTTGAGGCCAGGGGCTGGGAAGGTGTCTCAGTGGTAGAGCACTTGCCTTGCATGCATGAAGCCCTGGGTTTGATTCCTCAGCACCACATACACAGAAAAACCCGGAAGTGGCACTGTGGCTCAAGTGGTAGAGCGCTAGCCTTGAGCTGAATAGCTGAGGGACAGCGCCCAGGCCCAGAGTTCAGGCCCAATGACCCCCCCAAAAAAAAAACCCCAAAAACCAAAAAGCTGGATGCTGGTGGTTCACACTTGTAACCCTAGCTACTCAGGAGGAAGCCATCCTGGGCAGGAAAATCCATGAGACTCCTAATGTCCAATCAACCACCAGAAAACCATAGCTGACACAGTGACATCCACCTGTCATCTGAGCCAGGACAGGAAGCCAAAAATAGTAGCTGGGAAGGCCCTGTCTAAAGTAGTCAGAGCAGCCAGGCACCAGTGGCTCATGCCTACAATCCTAGCTACTCAGGAGGCTGAGATCTGAGGATCGTGGTTTGAAACCAACCAGGGCAGCAAAGTCTTATATCCAACCAGCAAAAAGCTGGAAGTGGCACTGTGGCTCAAGTGTTAAGAGTGCTAGCCTGGAGGTATGGCTTAGTGGTAGTGCTTGCCTAGGCCCTAAGTTCAAATACTAGTACTGATGCACAGATGCATGTCCACTGAGGAAAACCCCACCAGCCCCGGGGATTAAACCCAGGACTTCACCCATTCTAGGCAAACAGCCTGCACTGGGCCACACTGCAGCTCCTGGCCACCTTTACCGGTCCTCCCAACAGCTAACCAGTGTTGCCAGTTTCCTGAATACCCTCCCTGAAGGTTTATGATGCGCTGGCCTTGCACAGCACATGTGCGCGAGTCCCTTCTCCATGAAGGTGACAGCACGATGCACACAGAGCATGTACACTGAGGCATGTTGGTGCTGACTCCGCACTGGTGCACGGCAGTGGTTCTCAACAGAGGGCATTCCTCCCAGGACGCGTGGCAGGCGGTGCCGGGAGACTGTGGAACAGGAGGCCATTTGGGTAGAGATCATGGATGCTGCTAAGCTTCTCACAATGTCAGAGAGCTGCTTGCCCATGGTGCGGGGCTGAGGAGCCCTGGTCTAATGTATTATGCACCTTATTGTTTTGCCCATGGCCTGCCTCAGATTTTGATCTATATAGGTAGGCCCTTCAACTTAAGCCTTCTACATAGCGGGGACAAGGTCACACCCACACTCAGCTTCTTTGTTGAGATGGAGTCTTGCCAACTTTCACCCAAGCTGGCCTTGAGCCAAAAATCCTCCCAATCTCTACCTCTCAGAGCTGGGATTGCAGGCCTGAGCCACTCACTGCTCCCAGGAGTAAGTGTGGTTCAGGCCTTACTCAAACTCACAGAAACAACCAGAGGGCAGATATTAAGAAAAACAAGTGCCATGAGAACAGGCTGTGATCCTGTGGATTTTTTTTTTTGCCAGTCCTGGGACTTGAACTCAGAGCCTGGGCCCTGTCCTTGAGCTTCTTTTTGCTCAAGGCTAGCACTCTACCACTGGAGCCACAGCACCCCTTCTGGCTTTTATCTGTGTATGTGGTACTGAGGAATCGAACCCAGAGCTTCATGCATGCTAGGCAAGCACTCTACCACTACTCCACATTCCCAGTCTCTGTCTGGGATTTCTGACCCCTCCTGCTCTCATTTCACTCCCACTTCTTCTGTGGGATTTATCTTTTCAGACGGCTGGAAGTGGGCCATGGATCACAGCCCTGCAGACTGCCCTTTTATCTTAAAGCCAGCAACAACAGAAAAGAGACCGTCAGCAGTGTTTTGTGCATGAGTGTGCACTTTTGGAAAGGAGCTGTGGCAGCTGACCTCGGTGTTGAGGCTGGCATCTGGTATAACTCTCCCAGCATTCTCCTCAGATGCATTAAAAAAAAAAAAATTGTGGCTGCCGGGGCTAGTGGCTCACACCTGTAATCCTAGCTACTCAGGAGGCTGAGATCTAAGGATTAAGGTTCAAAGCTAGCCAGGGCAGGAAAGTCCGTGAGACTCTTTTTTTTTTTTGAGACTCTTATCTTCAATAAGCCACCAGAAAACCATAAGGCGCACTGTGGCTTAAGGGGTAGAGCTGAAGAGCTGAGGGACAGCGCCCAGGCCCAGAGTTCAAGCCCAAGACCAACAAAAAGAAAAAAAAAAAGTTGTGGCTAGGAATGTGGCTCAGGGGTAGAGTGCTTGCCTAGCATGCATAAAGCCCTGGGTTCTATTCCTCAGTATCCACATAAACAGAAAAAGCCAGAAGTGATGCTGTGAATCAAGTGGTAGAATACTAGCCTTGAGCAAAAGCAGCTCAGGGACAGTGCCCAGGCTGAGTTCAAGCCCCCTGACTGGCCAAAAAAAAGTAAAAAAAAAAAAAAAATTGTGTGTCATGGGGCTTGCACTCAGGGCCTGGGCGCTGTCCCTGAGCTTTTTCACTCAAGGCTAGCGCTCTACCACTTTGAGCCCCAGCGCCGCTTCCGGTTTTCTGGTGGTTCATTGGAGATAAGGAGTTGCATGGATGTACCTGCCCAGTTGGCTCTGAACCACAATCCTCAGATCTCAGCCTCCAGAGAAGCTAGGATTACAGGCGTGAGCCACCAGCAGCAGCTAAGATGCATTTTTCTATTCCATTTCATTCAGCAAGCCCTGGGTCATGGGGATGAAGGAAGAAGAGATTCAGCTTGTTCCCATCACAGCAGGGTCTCGGGGGTCGGGGTCAGTGTGAATGAAGGGTTTCAGAACATCTGGCCTGTTTGGCATGCATTTCAAGTACAGAGGAAAAATCAGACCAATTGTCTCCTACCAAATGAAACGAGCATGGCAGCCCTCACAGAGGCCTCTGGACAGCTGCGGTAACTATAAAGTACTGTCCTGGCTGGGGATGTGGCTCCGTGGCAGAGCTTTTGCCTAGTATATACACACCATGGGTTCAATCCCCAGCACTGCAGAAAACAACACCATATACTTTGAACTGTGGAGACGACAACCCATAATACCTGTGTGGAGCTGGGTAGCAGACAGGCACGCCCACCTCCCAACCTCCACTTATTTTATTGAGCCAATGGGAACACAGCACATAGACAATTCCCCAGTAGTGTCCTCTGCAGCCGCGCGGGGCCTCTATTTGCTTCTGTCCCTCTTCTCCCTCCCCTTGCCCCTGTCCTCTCGCAGGCCCCTCTCCCTGTCCCAGTCGTTTTCAGACCATACCCTGGCTGTCTCTCTTTCTTGCCACCTCTTCTCGCGACCCCTGTCATGGTCTCGGTCCCTGGTCCTGTAGTCCCAGTGTCTTTCCCTGGACCGGGATCGCTCCCGCCTCTCCCTCTTCCCATCTCGGTAGAGGTCATTCTTAACAACTGGCAAGTTGATAGGCTTTCGGAAAGGCCGATCCCGTCCCCCAAATCTCAGCTGCCCAGATTCCTTTTTCCCACCCAGCCCACCCCCCAGCCGCCGCGGGATCCAGCCACGAAGAGTCCGCTCCAGCTCATAGTCCACAAATATCTCGTGCTGGTCGATCACCAGGCCGTCGGCATCGCGGTGGGCCTTCAGCAGCGCCCGCTCCTCCTTGTACTCGATGAAGGCGTAGCCCTTGGAGAAGCCAGTCACCAAGTCCCTCACCAGCCGCAGCCGCCGGATGTCACCATAGCGGGAGAAGACTTCTTTTAACTTGTCCTCTTTGGTCTGCAAATTTAGTCTGGCCACAAACAGGGTGAGGAGCGGGTCTCCAGTGACGCCCTTGTTGGGCACATACCGGGCCAACATAGCCCTCCACACGGCGCGGTCATGCGGGTCTTCATCTGTGCCATCGATGCTGCCAGCTTTAAGTGGGTCATATTCCTTGGCGATGGGCATCCAATCGTTCATGTTCTAGAAATGTGACAGGGGGTGGTGGCTATCATCAGCTCAGGCCTCCCAGGGAGTAAGAGGCAGAGGTAGTATGGCTCAACTCCAGCGTACCTTTCAGAGCTTTGAAATGGTCATAGGGATCTGAGGGTGGAGCTCAGTGGGTAAACCTTTGCCTAGTTACACAAGGGACTCTGTATTCAAGCCTCAGCAAGCACTACAAACAAAATAAGATAAACACTTCTTTATCCACTAGGATTATAGATAGCTTACTATCTATAATCCTAGCTACTGGGGAGGCTGAGCTTTGACACTAGTCAGCCCAGGCAGGAAAGTCTGTGAGATGCTTATCTCCAATTAACCTGCACAAAGCCAAAAGCAGAGGTATAGTTCAAGTGGATGAGTGTCAACTTTGGAGAGGGAGGGAGGGTGGGAGGGACTTTAAAACCCAGCCCTGGCAGGAAGTCTGTGAGACTCTTGGAAATGTGGTTCAAAGTGGTAGAGCTCTAGCCTTGAGCAAATGTTATTAGAACAGTAACCCTCTGCATTGAGTTCAAGTCTGATGGGTAACCCCCAACCCCCCCAAAAAAAACTCCCCACTAAACCATTAGATGTGAACTTGTGTGATTTGTGAAACGTTCCTCAAACAATGGTGATACTGATGAAAGCTAATGACAACTTGTAGAATAGAGCTCTGTGCTGAGTCCTGAACAGGGTGCTCTGTGCTGAGTCCTGAACAGGGTGCTCTGTGCTGAGTCCTGAACAGGGTGCTCTGTGCTGAGTCCTGAACAGGGTGCTGAGTCCTGAACAGGGTGCTCTGTGCTGAGTCCTTCATAGGGTGCTCTGTGCTGAGGGAGGGAGGGAGGGAGGGAGGGAGGGAGGGAGGGAGAATTTTCTAGCTCCAACAATACTGGAACACCAGAAAAAAAAAAAACTGGGCTGGAGTTTATGACTCAAGCAAACAAGAGGCTGAATTCTAACCCCAATATTGAAATAAATCTAAGCATTACTAAGCAATATAGATCGCGTTTTGTTCTTTGAATGCTTTTACTTTTTTTCAATCTCCTTAGTTCATTTTCCCAAATGCCACAGTAGAATAAGCTTTCCTACAACAATGTCTAGGGTTTTACATTCAGCTTGTAGTTTCATAAGGGCTGGGATGAGATATGAGAGATAAAAGAACGAAACACAGCGAGCGTGGTGCAGGCTCACGCCTGTAATCCTAGCTACTCAGGAGGCTGAAATCTGAGGATCACGGTTCAAAGCCAGCCCCGGCAGTAAAGTCCATGAACCTCTTATCCCCAATGAACCACCAAAAAGTGAAGCTGGAGCTCAAAGTGGTAGAGCATTAGCCTTGAGCAAAACGGTTCAGAGACAGTGCCCAGGCTGTGAGTTCTAGCCCCACGACCAACCAAAAGAGAGGGGGTGGGGAGAGAATGATAAGGTTGGGACAGGTAACCAGCACAGACAAAAGGACATTAACGGGACTTTTTTTGGGGGGTCGGGGCCTGGGCGCTGTCCTTCAGCTCAAGGCTAGCGCTCTACCACTTGGGCCACAGCGCCACCTCCGGCCTTGTCCTTTTGCTTATGTGGTGCTGAGGAATCGAACCCAGGGCCTCACGCTTGCGAGGCAGGCGCTCTACCGCTGCGCCACCTCCCCAGCGCCGCCAACGTTAAGCCCATTCAATTCAAGCTTGAGCCTCTTACCTGTGAAGAGCGGGCAAGTGACAGGCGCTGGGGCTCTGCGGCCAGTGTCTGCGCGCCGACCGCGCCGCTGACTCCCAATCCCCTGGCTATCCGCCACAGCACAGAGAAAGCTGTTTTTCTTTGTACCTTCACATCCCAGGGACGAAAGCGGAAGACCCGGCCTCAGGGAGCGGGGGTGCGCAGGCGCCGCGGACGCGAAGGCGGAAGTCCGGGCGGTGTTGCCGCGCTCGGTGCCCCTCCCGGTGCGGTCTCGGCCAGGGCCTTGGTTCCGGCCCCCGGAGGCTGACTCCTTCGGCCGCCCGCCTCCCCGGCCCTCCGACCCAGCGCTCGTCCACGGTTCCCGCCGCGCAGCCCTCGGCACGGCGGCGGCTCCCCCGCTCGCCGGGACGGGACGGAGCAGTCCTCACCCCGGTCGCAGCCGGCCGCGGCTCACTTTGCTTTTCCGATCGAACCTCCCGCAGCGAGCCCCGACCCACGCGAGCGTCTGCCTCGGCGGAAGAGCGCGCTGCGGAGGCGCCGAGCGGAGGCCCCGCGCCCGGTCGAATCTGCGGTCGGCCCCTGCCAGGCGGCCGCCGGCGAGGCCCGGGGCTGGTCGCCGCGCGCCTCCAGCGGAGCTCCCGGGACGCCAGGAGCGCCTGGAACTCGTTTGGGGACCTTGCGGGCGCTTGTTGTTTGACAAACTCAAAACTCCCTGCAAATTTGAATTTCTTGCAAGTTTCCAAGTGACCTTTTTTTTTTTCCAAGCCTCTGCCATTAGGAGCCCGGAGAAGAAACATTATTTTCTTGCTTTTCTTTTTCCTTTTTTGCCGGTCCTGGGTTTGAACTCTGGTCCCGGGCGCTGACCCTAAGCTGCTTTTGCTCAAGGCCTGCGCTCTACCATTGAGCCACAGCGCCACTTCCGGTTTTCTAGCGGTTTATTGGAGATAAGAGTCTCTTGGACTTTCCTGCCCCGGCTGGCTTAGAACCTGGTCCTCAGATCTCAGCCTCCTGAGTAGCTAGGATGACAGGCGTGAGCCACCGGCGCCCAGCTAGGGTAGTAGCAACTTTTACACCAGACTGGGAAACCATAATCCTTTCTGTTTCTCCACGTGTGGAAGGTTACCATGACCTGAAAATAGTGTAAGGGATGAAGATCCCCTCAGCCCTCTGCCTCTTACCCTGCTGGAGCGCAGAGCCTCCTCCCCGCCCCTTCCCGTGCTGCCCAGCGCCTGGCGGAACTTTCCACTCTGCCAGCCCCCACCCATCTGCACTTCTATTTTAGGTGTCCACCCGCCCACCTACTTGGGCTTCCCAGTTTGCTACTTCTCTCAGGTCTTACTCAGTGAACTCAATGGAATCATATTTCTGAAGTTATTTTTATTTTTTTAATTTAAAAGTAACTATCTATCGTTGGGATTTTTTTTCTTTGCCAGTCGTGGGGCTTGAACTCTGGGCCTGGGCGCTGTCCCCGAGCTCCTATCAGCTCAAGGCCAGCGCTCTACCACTTGAGCCACAGCGCCATTTCCAGCTTTTTCTGCATGTGTGGTGCTGAGGAATCGAACCCGGGGCCTCATGCATGCAAGGCAAGCGCTCTACCAGTGAGCCACCTCTCCAGCCCCTTTTGCCTTTTGTAGATGCTGGTGGTGCGTCTTGAACTCGGGGCTGGCGCTGTCCTTGAGCTTTTCTGTTCAAGCTGGTGCTCTACACTTGACCCACAGCGCCACTTCCACTTTTTGGGGTAGTTTATTGGCTTTCCTGCCCGGGCTGGTTTCGAACCCCATGCTGAGGTCTCAGCCTCCCGAGTTGCTAGGATTACAGGCGTGGGCCCCGACCGTGGGGATCCGCAACGCCCGCCGCGGGCTGCGCCCCCCCTCCCGCCCCACGCAGGCCCGCGGCTGGGAAGTTCCAGGGGGAAGGAAGTCCCCGAGTGCGGTCTCCCCTCCCGGCCTCACCCTGCAAGTCCCGCCTCCGTCTCCATGGAAACGCGGCCTCTGGAGGCTGCCGCGGGGGCGGGGCCCCGCCTGGCTCCACCCCCGGCCTGCGGGCTCCGAGGCCCCGGCCGCCCCCAGCGCCCCGCGGCCCGGTCTCGGGCGCCCTCCCTGCCCGTCGTCCTTCTCCGTCCCCCGCCGCATCCGGGGGGCCGCTGTCCCGCCTGGCTCGGCCGGGACGCTGCCCCCTCGGCCGCGCCCCCTGCGCAGCGGCAATTTCTCCGGGCCCGGGGGAAGTGACGGGCCGGGACTCATGGAGGAGCCCCCGCGCCGCCAGGGCGAGGAGGGCGGCGCGGAGGAGGACGAGGCCGGCCCCGAGGGCGCCCTGGGCAAGAGCGCCTTCCAGCTGACGGCCGAGGACGTGTACGACATCTCCTACGTGGTGGGCCGCGAGCTGATGGCGCTGGGCGGCGACCCCCGCGTGGCGCGGCTGCAGTTCACCATCGTCCGCGTGCTGGAGATGCTGGAGGCGCTGGTGACCGAGGGCGGCCTGGCGGCCGAGGCGCTGCGGCGGGAGCGGGACAGCCTGCGGCGGGAGGTGGAGGGGCTGCGGAGCGGGGGCCCTCCCGCCGGCGCGGGGGTGAGTGCGGGGCGGGGAGCCCGGGAGGGGCCGCTGGGGGGGAGCAGGGTGACACTGGAGGGACCACGGTGACAGTCAGTGGACGGGAGCAGAGTGACAGTGGGTAGAGCTCGGTGACAGTGGATGGAGCAGGGTGACAGTGGATGGAGCA